TTTTCTTTTATGCCAAAAATCATTAGGATATTAAGTAAAGATCATGTTCCATGAAGATATTTTGTAAATTTCCTACCGTAAATATATCAAAACTTAATTTTTGATTAGTAATATGCATTGCTAAGAACTTCATTTGGACAACTTTAAAGATGATTTTCTCAATATTTCGATTTTTTTGCACCCTCAGATTCCAGATTTTCAAATAGTTGTATCTCGACCAAATATTGTCCTATCCTAACAAACCATACATCAATGGAAGCTTATTTATTCAGCTTCCAGATTTTGAAAAATTGACCCTTATGACTGGTTTTGAGGAGTGTTTGTTTCCAGAAGCTTTACTTTCACTGTTCCTCAGCGGAGGAATGATCTTCACAAGCCTCCAGAACATCTCACATCTTCTGAGGAGCCTTTATTTCTTCAGCTCTCAATCACTGCATTATATGTTTGGAGCATTTCAATCTCATCTTACTGAGACAGATTACTGCAGATATAGAGCGACGACTGATATTTATATCATTTTATGTCAGTATCTGCTGCACTGTTAGAAAGATCTCATTATTTACTTTACAAGCATCAGGATTTCATCATATAAATATCTGCATCTGAACCAAATTGCATATTTTTACTCCGTTTGAGTCTCTGAATAAAATCGATATTTTTTCCCGTCCATATTCTCAGACTATATGAGCCATAAAAACCTGATAGATCAAATATGTACTTAAAAAAGCTAACTTTTTAAAAATATTTTGTCTAAAGACTCAAACTGTTTCATTTAAAAAAATGAGATTTTTCAGACTATTAATGTATGTAAGGCTTCACAGGGTTAATTGCATGTCTCAGTAATGCTGTGTGTGTAACACAGAATATGATGGATGATGCAGAGCTGCTCTCCTCTCTAATAATGAACACATTATGTAACCGACTCACAATGGTTTTCTCAAGATCCAGCAGCGTTAGTCACCCGCTGTCGGCCGTTCCGTCAAAATAACCTCATCACATGAGAAAGAAGCATTAAAGCTGCCTTATACTAAAGCACAGAGCTCTCTTTGTGAGATATACAACATGAGCATTTCTCCAAAATAAACAAATCTATTACACTAGCGGTCAGAAGTTTGGACACACTGACTCATGATTTAAAAAAACGTTTGATGTAAAGGCAAAAAAATGAGTTTTGTAGACAAATATAAATTGTCTACACAACAATTTGGGCCTAAAAATAGCATCTTTAGAAAGCTAAAATATTATTTTTATTTATGGAGCAAATAGTGAAGTAATATAATGAAAACTAAAAAAAATATATATATATAGTTTTTTTTTTTTTTTTTTTTAATGGAAAAATTGGAAGGTTCACATTCTGTGTGGCCTACAAAAATCCACTGGAAAAATAATAGCTGTATGGTTTATTTTCTGAGATGAATTGAGGATGTGGGACAAATTGGATCAGATAGTGAAGGAGAAACATTATCACCATCTGCTACAATTCACAAACTAAAATAATATTTCCTCCTTTTCTAGTTTCTAAAATCAGCTTAATAAGTTGATGATGAATGTCCAGAGCTGGAACTGTATTATTTCATTTATGTATTATTATTCATTGTATTATTTATGTAACATAAATCTATTAAGAATATATCAGTTTTTAACTTTTTACGACTTCACAATTATTCATTAACATGTGGAAAAACAGTCGTCCAACTTCTGACCGGTAGATATAAGTAAAAAGTAGCTTATATAATATAGAAAGCATATATTATTAAGTGCAGTATTTTTTTTTTCAAACTAAAACTTATTTAAAACTAAATTCAAGTAACAGATCTACAGCAATTTTTTTTTTCACCATTACAGCTCTAAACCGTTTTTCAGCATTTTAGAACAATACATTTGCGTTATTCTGCATCTTCTGCGAGACTTCAGCTGTGCTGTAATCAAAGCTATATTTAAATGAAATACACAGAGTTGTGTATGGAGGTCTCACCGGTGAGTTTGGGGTCCGTCTTGCGGCGGAACCGCTCTTTTGCGCGGAGTCTGGAGAAGGTTCGTTTGAGCAGCGGCTCGGCATAGAGTTCATAATTCATAATAACGCTTCCTCCAGTGAAAAATCCGTCTCGCATCAAAATCCAGCCACATGTTTAGAGCTGTTTAAACGGTGCTTGATCTGTGCAGATTTCTCTCCTGATTCAGACCAGAACACCTTTTCACTGGAGGAAGCGTTATTATGGATTATAGACTCTATGTATTTTAGTTAAAAACGTCTTAATGCTGGATTTGTTTCAGCTTTTGTCTTCTCCAGATGTTAACTGATGGACTGGAGTGCTGTGGATTACTTGTGGATTATTGTGATGTTTTTATCAGCTGTTTGGACTCTCATTCTGACGGCACCCATTCACTGCAGAGCATCCAAGTGGGTGAAATATTCCTTTAACGTTGCTTGGTCTTAAATCAGCATTAGAAGGCGGTTGCATGCGATCTACAGAAGTCTGAGTTGTAAATGGTTTTGATTAGCAGCTGATATTGCGGGATGGAGTATCTGCATTACCTGGGTATTTGTTCTTCTTTTTTTTGCCAAAAAGCTATAATAGCATGTATAAAAGTGTTTCAAGATCGAGATTACATTGTAGCATGCGGCAGATTTACAAACATCTAGTTAAGACATCAGTGCATCTTTACAATAACCCAGATTGGGTTCCCCAAAACACACAGGAATCATTTTCCAAATGCACTTCAATAAACTTTCCCAATCCTTGCATGTTTGTTTATGACATATTAAGTCTAACTATGATTTTAGCTCCCAATATCAGGTCAGTTCAACACATTATATTGCGTTTGCTACTGAAAACACTGCCTTAAACCTGACCTTATTTAATGGGCTTGTGCTGATAAAACCCTCATATAAAAATGAGCTTCAGCCAACAAAACTACAAAAGCACCATATCAAGATACAGAAAACAACATATGAAAGTTCATCTTCACCTCTGCGTTCCTGACAGACCTGCTCTCATCCGCTAGGAAAATAAAATCAGAGCATTTAGCTGCGAAAATGCATAAAAAACAGCAATATGGAGTTGATAGACTTTTACGCGTTGCATTTCAGTTTCGCTACACACCGTTTCCCTGATCTACTGATATTATTCTGAATTAATGTGTCACCTGAAGTCAAATTTTGTTTAAGATGGTCAAACAGAAGCACAAAGACTGATGATATCTTACTCAACACACACACACACACACACACAAAATCATCAGACAGCAGTGTTGGGGAAAGTTACTTTTAAAAGTAATGCGTTACAATGTTGCGTTACTCCATAAAAAGAAAAGTAATCTGATTACGTAACTCGCGTTACTTGTAACATGTTACCCCCAAAACTGTCAAGACATTCACATTAGGAGGATTTTAAAGTCAACATAACCTTATTTACTATTCATTTTTCTCCAGTTTCATTCAGAACATCACATTACGGAGATAAAATGGGTTTCATGTTGACTTTAAACTTAAAGTATGGTCAGCGTTTGAAACATGCAGACAGACTCTCGCACACAACAAGCATCCGTAAGAGGTAAACGTGTGACTCCGGTTTAATATCTCTGTCGCAATCCGGATCTCGTTCAGTTTGTTTGTGCGTCTGATTCTTCAGCAAACGCTCTGGATGTCCCTGTTATCAGAGACCTTCACAGGAACCGCGGCGATTCATATTCCAGCATTGTGTCTGAAGCAAAAATAATATTGTCTGTTTATATACATATACATGTTATATAGAGAGAGATTGATAAATATTTGACCTTTAGACTATGTACAGCGGAGAGTGAACAGCATTTACACATGCTAATACTTACAGCAGAGTTTGTGACGCATTATTAATAACATATTCATTCATATCAATCAGACGTATAACAATCAACGGCCTTTGTTCGGTCAGTACAGGGTTCCCAAAGTCACGGAAAACCTGGAAATCCCTCGAATGCATGATGTGTTCACTAGAGGAGATATTTTAATCATTTAGTGCGGGATAGATGATCTCCTAAATTCCCCTTATCATATGTCACTGTGTTTTTCATTTATGATGCACAATACATCTACAAGATCTGCTACTGTGTTTTATTGCAGTGGTCAGATGTGTAATATACTCTCTTATAATACATAATTTAAAAATATAAGATCATATCTGTGGACGTGGAATGATGATGTTGTTTAGAAACATTCATGTATTTTTTTCTCAATATATTGATTCACTAGATAATGCATCAAAGAGTTAAAATGTGATTTGCAGGTCTGGAAAAATTCACTGAAATTATTCCTAAAAAGGGTTGATATCAGTACAAACGCACTTTACTTTATCCAGCATTCATTCAGAGAGTTTTTTTATTTTTTATCTCACATTGAGCCTCTGTTCACACAAAGCACTTTAAAAACTAACATTAGTTGTTTTTTTTTAAGATAAAGTTCTGATGTTAATTTTTTTTATTCCACATGACTGTTCATAAGTTTGGGGTCAGTAAGATTTTTATTTTTTGACATTTCAAAAGCAAGGACGCACTAAATTGATCAAAAGTGACAGTAAAGACATTTATAATGTTACAAAATGTTTCTGTTTCAAATAAATGCTGCTCTTTTGAACTTCCTGTTCATCAAAGAATCCTGAAAAATAAAATGTATCAGTTTCCACAAAAATATCGTGCAGCACGACTGTTTTCAACATTGATAATAATCAGAAATGTTTCTTGAGCATCAAATCAGCATATTAGAATGATTTCTGAAGATCATGTGACACTGAAGACTGCAGTAATGATGCTGAAAATACAGCTGCGCATCACAGAAATAAATTACAGTTTAACAGATATTCACTTAGAAAACATCTTTTTAAAATTGTAATAATATTTACTGTTTCTACAGTATTTTTGATCAAATAAATGCAGCCTCAGTGAGCAGAAGAGACTCAAAAACATAAAAAAAATCTCACTAACCCCAAACTTTTGAACAGTAAATTCTGACACGCGTTGTGTGAACGGCCCCTAACAAACACAATGAGGTTTCAGTGTGTTTGTGTGATTTTCTTCACCCAGCAGCGACCCGGACACATCACACAAACTTCAAGGCAAAACTGCAAGAACTCAGATAAGGCAAATAGAAAACAAACCACATGAGAAAAACTGCAAATACATGAAAACACAAAGACGACGTGACCATTGCTTCAGATCCTGTCTGTGGCTCAGTGCAGAGGATCACACGGACAATACAACATCATTAGTGCGGTGAAGGCAGGGAGTGAAGGATTGTGGGTAATCAAAGGGCGGTGCTCTCCGACTCCTCCTCCGACTGCAGAAGATCCACAGAGTTCCTGTATCTCCCATTCAATTCCACGATTATTATGGGAACGTCCAAATCACAGCACGAGTCTGAGGACAAACACAAAACACTGAGTGCGAAGACAAGTGGAGAGAATGAACATAAAACAGAGAAAAACATGATTCATTGGTGATGGTGTGGTTTGCAGAAATTCACACACTGGATGAGAAGCGGCATTATAATGATATAGTACCAAATCCTTGTTAATGCACGACATAAAGTCTGCAAGATTGTGCATTTTATATTCTAGTCTACATTTTAATATTAGAAACCGTACTAATAGTATTAGTTAGATGCCAGATACATTATGTATTTTTTAAGCTATGACTCTGGATAATTGATTTTTAGAATTCTGGAAATAAAACATTACACAACCAAACAACGAAGCCTTATATGCAGGTTATACTTGAGGTTCCGAGGAAATGTTTTATTTAATGTTATTAGTCTATTTAAAAATATTTATTAATTTAAATGAATTCATTATGCGAAAAATCATTTGAAATAAATTATTGAAGACTTGTTTCGTCCAGAGTTTTTGAATGAATCTCTTGAATTAATGATTCCGACATCAAATACATTTTAACAGTCACTGGTCGCCACCTACTGGCATAATGTAACAAAATCTATATTTGAAGCGCAACATAGTTCCAAACGTCATTTACTCAGTTTGATCGCGGCTGCGCAACATTAAAGTTTATGTCAGGTGTCCTGACATTTTATCCTACCCGTCAGATTGTCCTACCAGGGTTTACTGCGCATCAACTATTTGAAAATCTGGAATCTGAGGGTGCAAAAAAATCTAAATATTGAGAAAATCATCTTTAAAGTTGTTCAAATGAAGTTCTTAGCAGTGCATATTACTAATCAAAAATTAAGTTTTGATATATTTACGGTAGGACATTTACAAAATATCTTCATGGAACATGATCTTTACTTAATATTCTAATGATTTTTGGTATAAAAGAAAAATGTATAATTTTGACCCATACAATGTATTGTTGGCTATTGCTACAAATATACCCCAGCGACTTAACACTGCTTTTGTGCTGCAGGGTCACATATGTAACATACAAACTTTATTTGAAGCATAACATTAGTTCCAAAGGTCAATTATTCATTTTGATTGCGCCTGCCGCAACATCAGAGTCTATATCTGGACTATAAACTTTTATCCCAATACTTTCGTTATTATTTAATGTTTGCAACACAGAAATGTAGCCTGCTGTGTAGACTGTTTGTGACGCTGTTTCAAACATAAAGCTTACATGATGAGTTGCTCTACCTGGATCAGTGGCTGCATGAAAGCAGGTTTAAATATTTCGATGTGATTGTGATTTTAAAGGTTTAATAGACATAGAGGAATCATCGTCTTTTAGGAATAAAATCCCGTGCATGCATATGAACCTATAGCCTATGTTTGTACCAGACCTCAAAAGTAACCGATCCATGCATTAGTACATCAACATCTCACTGGTGTGGAGCTGCTTTTTCTTGCTTAAAATGAGTAAATGAGCTCTGAACAGCATACGGCTGTCATACAGTAACATTTAAAAGTGTTCAACATCGTACAAGACTGTACAGTACAGTTCTGATGTATAATTAAGATTTAGATTTCTCTTAAATATGCTTCATACGCTAGCGTTCAAAAGTTTTGGGGTTAGTAAGATTTTTAATGTTTTTGAAAAAGTCTCTTCTGCTCACCAAGGCTGCATTTATTTGATCCAAAATACTGTAAAAATTAAGAAATATTTTTTTTACAATTTAAAACAGCTGTTTTCTATGTGAATATCTGTTCAAATTAAAATTTTCAGCATCATTACTGCAGTCTTCAGTGTCACATGATCTTCAGAAATCATTCTAATATGCTGATTTGCTGCTCAAGAAACATTTCTGATTATTATCAATGTTGAAAACAGTTGTGCTGCACAATATTTTTGTGGAAATCGTGATACATTTTATTTTTTAGGATTCACAGATGAACAGAAAGTTCAAAAGAACAGCATTTATTTGAAACAGAAATATTTTGTAACATTATAAATGTCTTCACTGTCACTTTTGATC